GATCCTTCCACCCAGCAATGGAGTTATATATATATAAAGGAAACACATAAAATATTAGTCATATGCATATTTTTATCACTAATCTTTGCACTGTTTTTAAACATTTTTTGCAATTTTTAATATAATATGATAGTAATCATATAAGCTGGTATTGATTTTATTATTTTAAAAAGATAATAAAAATATTTTAAAAAGATTATAAAAAGATTACAAAAATATGAAATTATCTAAATAATTGTTCTTTTTTGTTTGTTTTTTTTCACCTGAAAAATTCGAATCAATGACTTTTTCTAAAAAAAAAAAAAAGATCATTGATTTTTTATCAATATTATTGATTGACATTATTAGTATCATTAGGTCACTTAATCAATAAAGAATAAAAAATAACGTCCAGATGATTAAAAAATATAGTCTGATGTTAATCAATTGATTTAAATCATTATCACCCCTACCTATAGGTAAATTCAATGTTAATAATGATATTGACAAAAAAAAAAAAATCCAACGAAATTTCTAGGGTATCTTATTGTTAAACATTAATACTTTTGAAAATACATCTTGATATTAAAATCCTTGGCTGGAGGGGTCCAATGCTCATGTAAGTGAAAACTCAGAAAAGCAGTTGTTAACACAAGGCCCCTAAAACCAATTAGAATGAAAATTTTTAAGACCTCTAAATTTTTTTTTTATTCTACTCAACAATGCTTTCTTTTTTTATCTTATTTGATTTATTTTATTAAAGCGTTCATTGCTAGAGACTTTTAAGATTATTGCTCTTTTTTTTAAATTTAGATGTTAAAGTTATTTACATTTCTAGCGTAGCCAAGTCTTTCAACAAAAAAATAAGCACCTTTTAATTAATTTTTGAGCAATCAAAAATATTTTTAAGCACTATATACATTAACAAAATGCAAAATAATTTTCAAAGGCTTTACATGATAATGATAAAATAGCTAGTTTCTGACAAAGAACTCTTTAATATATTATATTAGCCATTACAAAAAGATTGAGAAATTTTTCTGTTCGATTTCAGAGGGTCTGAAATTGAGAATATCTTGCAAAATGCAGCAGAGTTGCACATGAGAGTGCAATAATCTCACCGAACCCAACTCAGTAGACGCACAAGCGGCCTCCAAGTATTTCATCAAGCTTATAAAATTATTGGCTCTTTCATACGCTATGGACTGACGGTACGCCAAAATAGATTTTAGTTGAATGAATTGTGAAAATGCTGAATAGAACAATATGAAAAGCACGCTTTTCAATAATACGTCATGAAAATCGACATGGTAAAGAAATAAAATCTCATTTTCGAAAAGGGAAAATTAAGCACTTCTTAAAAACTAATGAAATGCTCTTTTTAAAAACGTTACACACCATGTTAATACATTTACATTTCTTAACATATAGATCTTATACTTTCAAAATAATTCATTACTTACAGAGGAACTATTAGAAACAATACTATCCTCATTAATAGTAACTGAATTTTCCTCACAAGTGGTTTCATCCTCTGGTGATCTACAAATAAATTTTAAGTTCTTTATCCAAAAGAAATTTAAAAATAAAAACACAATTCACGAAATATATGCATAATAATATTTTTCAATAAAAATAAACTTTTTGACAGCAGTAAAAAACATTGTTGAAGTATCAATTTTATTTATTAAATTTAGGTACTACAGTAGGTAGTATACGATCGGGACCATCGCTATTCCGGATAACTGATTTTTCCGGTTTTCTGAATCGCTACAAAAAACCTTTTTTTATTGTTAAACCAAACTAAAAAAAAAATATTTGGAAATAATCTTAAAAAGAAGAAAAAACGATGAAGTAATACACTAACGATTATTTCAAAATGATGGTAAGGTAAACATCTTTCAAAAAAGAAAGAAAAATCCTAAAATCTTATGAGGAAAAAAAAAATTTTTTTTAAAAATGGAGGGAAAATTTATCGAATTTCGTTCCGACTTTTTGGTTTTCCGGTTTTCTGATTTCCGGATAACGGGTTCTGTACTGTACTATAATATTAAAATTATTTTATTACAGAGCAATGTTTTATTCAGGGTTTCCATTCAGTTTTAAAAACTTTAATTCCATGATTTTAAAAGGTTTCCACTACCCAAGGTTCTAAACTAAATTCTGGCTAAAAAATTTCGCAAACTAAAACATTTTGCGACACTTATGCAATATTTCATTAATACCTTTTTTTTTCTTTTTTTTTTTTACTTAAGTAGAAATAAAATTTAAATTTGGATAAAATAAGTTAGTCAAATATTACATTTTATAGAAAAACAAAAAGGTGAAGGTTAATTAGAATAATAATCCTAAACATTATCAGGGAGCGTAGCCAAATTTTTGAACAAAAATTAAAAGCCTTTTAAGCCCTTTTCAAACACGCAAAAAATATACTTAAACTCTTTATTTATAAAAAAAAGTAGAAGGGGAACTATGTTTTTTTTAAAAAATTCATATGGGCTGCTGCACAGAAGTTGCGAAGACTTCGTGATTGTTCTGTCACATATCACAATATGGAAATCTCCCTAAATATAATTGGGATATTATGAAGTCTAAAAATATTAAAAAAGTATTTGGCTAACAAAAGCCTGAATAAAATAAACAAAACATATAACAAGATAAATTAAAAATAAAAGTACAAGAGTTTTATGGCATATCAAAAAGTTGTAGATTTTTCAGAAGAATAGTTTCGGATTTGAGGTTTATACTAATAATTTGTTTTTAGCAAGGTCATCACTAACCCGTTATGGGTACTTTAATTCTGTTAATTTATGTGTGGTTGCTAAATAAATCTGTTTTTTTTTTATTAAAATAAATAAAAAGAACTGTTTCTTAATATAGCTTGATTCGTTACAGCTATACTTAATCGGTGGCAGCGTCAGGATCAGTTCCAGAAACGTTTCAAGCTTAAAGCCAAGAGCGTGCGAGAACTATCACTATGTTTTTTTTTTATTTAAAAAGAAAAAGTGTGATCTTTTAACAAATGGTTGTAAGGAACGATATTACAAGAAATCTGAATATAAATCTAGGAATTATGAAAAACTGGCTATATGTAAACCTTTGAGCCGAATTGCATTTCCTCCTGAATTGATCGTAAAATTGAAGAATTAGATGTTTAAAATTGATGCGCTAAATTCGACGGCACTTCGAACAGAAAGCGAAGAGAAGAGATTTAGGGTGAATTTTGATCTACGGTTTTTGTGTGCTTTACTCATTCCTGCTGAAAGGCCAGAAATTTATGATGATGATTATGATTACTGTAAAGAAAATTTCATCATCAATTTTCAGTATGATCCACAAGTATTGCCAGTTACAAAATTTTAATGAGAAATCCAATTCGCCCAGTATAGGGAAGAAATTTAGATCTGAACAAGGATGTTTCCATAGTGGTGAAATAGGACATTTTAAGAAATACTGTAGACATCGGGATTTGGATTATAGAAAAGTGATTTATGATAGAAGTTGGAAACATAGTAACCACCAGCATGACTATAAAAATATATCGCCAAATGTCTCCCAAAAAGTACTAAATTCCTATATTGCAAGACCAGTTACTTTGAAGGACACAGAGTTAAGTTAATTTAATATTGGTAAATTAAGCGGCACTAAGTCTGGAAATGTTACCAAGAGTTGTTCTGAAAGTAGTCAATCGACTTCCAAAAAAATAATAATCTTGCCAACTGTTGTACCTGAAGAAATGGGACCAATTAGTAAAGTAAATAAGAAAGTAATTATTGATTGGAAAGAAAATATTTTCAAAAAAGTGTCGAATTGGTTCTCCAAGTTAAGGGGCGTATAGAACAAAAAGAAAAACATATTTTCGTAAGGAAATCGAAACAATTAGATGAAAACATTGCGGAAAGTGTTAGAAATATTTTTATAGAGGATTGGAAGGAACAGCAACAAATAGTAAGAGAAGAAAAGGATAAGATGTTGGAAGTTAGTCCATGTGTACTAAACACAGAAATAAAAAGTGCAGTACCGAAAGACGAATTGATCGAGTTTCTAGAAAGATAGTAAAGGTGGTAAAAGAAAAGATATGTCAAGTCATTCAAGAAAAAGTTGCAAACTACAAGAAAACATTCAAACAAAATTGATAAGTTATGCTTTATATTAAATTTATATAAATCCAATGTAATCTAAAATGCATCAAAATTTTCAAGAAAATAAATTTAATAGTTTGGTTTTAGAGCCTTCTTTTTATATTCTTCTTATATTATTTTCAAAAATAAAAGGTCATAAAAGAGTTTTTTATTTAGCTTGAAATTTATAATTCCATATGTTCATACAAATAATGTGTATTCACAAAGAGCATAAGTAGCTGAGCTAAGAGTATGAAATACATGTATTAAGATAGTGCTGACATCTAGTTTAAAAAAAAATATCTCCAGTTACATTAAATATAGTCTAGTGCAGCCATCTTGCGTGTAAAATAAGAAATAAAAGCAATTACGAGCACAAGAAATGGATAGATTTATACCTTTTTGGTTCTTTACTTTTAAACACTTTAGCCCGGAAATATCAAGGGCACGAGAAATAAGAGACGAAAGCTCACCCCGTTATTTTTACGTGAGAAAAGGGGTTTAAAAAAGCTTGATTTTATAACCACTTAAGTCCATCTGACCTTATTACATGTGAATAGTCTATTTTGATATATATTTCAACAATATTAGTCTACATAGACAATTTTGATAGAAAGAAATAATACAATAAAAAAAAATTGAAACACAATATCATTGACTTTATACAAAATTAAAGTAATTTTTTGGGATCAAGAATAAAACATAGAAGTCCAATTTGTGTAGATGAAGAAGATAAATAATAAAATAAAAATTAAAAATAAAATATTAATCAAGTTTAAACAAAAAAATCAATAAAGAATTGCTTACCGGAAGTAACCCAAGAGAGGAGGACGGTTTATTGGAGTTTGCTTGCAATGTCTCTCTAACAATATCTTTTTAGGGTTAAAAGTTGAAAACTTGCAATTGACGTAGTTGATAAGGTAATGCAGGATGTCTAATGTTTCTTGACAAATTTGGGGAGAATGACTCAAGCATTGCTATAGTGAGAAGGGTTAATAAAAAAACAAAGGGTTAAAAACTCAAAAACCATCTAACATTTAATTTTTATTTAAAAAAATCAGGTGATTTAAATTAAGCCAACTTTGATTAGAAACAAATTTTTTTCAAACCTAAAACAATTACTGAAAGGGAAAACAGGGTGCATAGCCAAATTTTTCAACAAAAAATAAGCACCTTTTCAGCACTTTTCAAGCACTTAAAAATATATCATCAGGGTTGGCAAGTTTTCGACCATTGAAGGTTTCAACCATCATATCAAGAAAAAATCTTTGACTTGCCAGTGACAAAGACGCAACACTGGCACCAATGATTAAATTAACAAGAGGAATTACATTTTCTATCGCTATTAGAGGGGGGGGGGAATTTACAATGTTTAGTTGGTCCTTGTAATCATCAAAAATCTGAGAGATTTTTTTATTCGATTTCAGAGGACGGAAAATGAAGCCTGAAATTGAGAATTTCTTACCGAATGCCACATTAGAGAGCAAAAAAATTTTCCCCCTGAATCCAGCTCAGCATACGCACACACAGACCTGCAAGTATTTCATCAAACATGTAAAATGAGTGGTGTTTTCATATGCAATGGACCGACGGTACGCCGAAATAGATTGGGGGTGAATTAATTGTGAAAACGTTAAATAGAACAATGCAATGTGAACTTTTTGCATTATTCGTGGTTAAAATCAACTTAGTAAAGAAAAAATATCTTACTTCGGAAAAGGGAAAATTAAGCACTTTTTGAAAACACTTAATTAAAAAAGTACCTTTAAAAGCTTTTAAAAAATGAAAATCGAAAATAAGCACTTTTTAAAAACACCACGCATCCTGAAAAATAAGACTAAGGGAATTTACAAGGCAATATTAACAGATCGAGTGCAATTCGGGCATAATTAACAGATCGAGCGTAATGACACTTAACTATCCAAACTATTCACCAAAATTACGACTTTTAGCCATGTCATGAATCACATCTAATCTAGATCAAAAGCCGCACAAAGGTTGCAAATAAAAGAGTGTCACTACTTGAACTAGGTATCCAGAGCTTTAAGATATCCAATTGACAACACTCCAGAAATGCTTAAGAGTAATAAGGATTTACCTAATGATGGTTTGGCCAGAAAAATCTCCAATTATTTTTCTTAAATCCTCTATTGCGCAATAGGGAATTGAGTTATTGAAAACGGAAGAGTGAAATTCTGCAGTTTGATAGGGTGCCAAATTCGTGGTTTTGAGATAAAATAACGTTTTTCCCTGACTTTTTTAAAACTCTTGTTTTCCTGTTATTCCTGGCGCGTACGAACGCTATATTCAAAGGGACTACAAGCACCCGAAAAAATTCCTGATTTTTCTAAAACAATTTTTATCAAATTACTTCGATATTCCTAACCCATCCGATAAATTATTTCTTTACTTTTTCAGTTTTTCCTTATTCTTATGAATAAAATACATTAAACAAAATATTTACACTTGCTATTAGAATAGAAAAAAAAATTTTTTTAAATTTACTCATTTTTTTAAAAATTATTTTTTTTTCCAAAAAATATTGGATTTTTAGGTATTTCCATATTATAACACAAGGTATTTTTAGGTATTACAGCAGAATTCATCTTAAAGACATGTTTTGCACAGTCCAACAGTTATATAAAAGAGCTCAGTGTCTCTTTTATAGCAAGATAATTTTAATGGATAGCACAAAAAATAGTTGGCAATTAAATAACGTCATGACACAATGCCAAACATTAAAAAAAAATCTTATTTTTAAATTAAACAGTAACTATAAACAGGATGCATAGTCATATTTTTCAATGGAAAATAAAAACTTTTTAAGCACTCAAAAAATATTATTTATAATTACTTTCCAAAAAAAAAAAAAAAGAAAGAAATCATAATTAGGATCTGTGCAGTAATAAAATCATTTCTTTCTATCGTTTAAAGTTCTTAATTTTTAAACATAAAATCAATTAAATTAAGAAACAAAACATTTTCCGAAACTTTACATAATCATGATAAAATAACTAGTTTCTGATAAATATTGCACAGAAAATTGTGAAAATCACGCATTATTTAATTTTATTTAATAAATAGAAAAATCTTTTTTCAAAAAGATAGAAAATTAAGCACTTTTTACAAACATATACATGATAAAATAACTAATTTCTGATAAATACTGCATAAAAAATTGAGAAAATTATGCTATTTTTGTTATCACTATTGACATACAAAAAATCTCTTTTCAAAAGATAGAAAATCAAGCAGTTTTAACAAACCCAGAGTAAAAAAGCACCCCCAAGGGCTCTTAAAAAACGTAAATAAAAAAAGAATACCTTTAAGCACTTTTAAAAAATTTTACGCTCCCTAGTAAATTAATTCTCCTTACATATATACTCTTGATTCTTTAGAGCAAAAATTGAGTAATTTATTAAAAATAATTTTATGCTCACTTGAGACTTTGCAAACTCTAAAACTCGATCGGTTAATAAATGTAACTGATTAGTGGTCTTTTCAATAGCACTTTGTTTAAATTTACTATCGTCGCATTTCAATAGTTTGTTCTTCAATGTATTGATGAGCCTCTTGATTGAAGACCTACAATAAATGATCAAAAGTTTATGAATGACACAATATTGAAGGAAAGGAAAATGCAATTGATTTATGAAAATCTGTAGCAAACATACTGGCCTCAAAGAAAAAAAAATACATGTACATATTACGCTTATAAATTGTTTAATAAATTGTGTTATTGTACGGTACCAATAAAAAACAAGTACTTTGATACGCTGAATAAAAATTTGAGATATTTTCAATTATATGTTACTAATTTATTCCAAGACAGAGGTAATTGTATTTTCAACTGACATTGTATGCTTAAAATAATTTTTGATCAATTTAAAACAAAGATTTTTATTATAATAAAAAATAGTATATCTCTATGCCGACAAATTTAAAAGATATCTTTCAGGAATCTATTGCTTTTTTTCCTTCCTTTTTTTGTAGATGACACACATTTTAGTAGATTATTAGAGAACACATATAGGCCACTATAAAATACAAATAAATAAAAAGATAGTTTTTCAGGATTTGTGTTTAAAAAAAAAAAAAATCAGGGGTGATTGTGAGCCCAAGTCAAAATTCCAGAAAATTTCTTGAGTAAAAAAAAAAAATAATAATTTAAATGGAAAAATTAGAAAAAAATTTAAACAAGGTTTTTACCTTTTTCTCAATATTTCTTATTTTACTTAAAATATATTCATAATTTTACACATACCCATACCATTTACACATAACTATGTCGACCTGGAGAAGTAATTGAAATTTACAAATATGTCTCTTTCTTGAGTTTATGATTATAATAACTATTTACTGATAAAAAAATGAATATTAATCTTGAATATAAGCTTATAAAGTATCCGTCTCTCCTCTACAAATAAAATAAACTTTTTTCTAAAGTTCCAACTTTGTAAAAATTTGATTTCAGGAAACTTTTGTGATCAATAATTTTTGAAACATCTGAACCTTCGATCTCCGGAAACTTCCGGATCACGGTTAGCGAGAAATCCAGATTTTTTCCGGAGCACAATCAGCCCTGAAAATTTCATTAATTTGGTTCATAATAGTTAAATTATATAAACAAAAATTTAGTTAAAAAATTGTTTTTGCATTTCATTGCAATATATAACACATGTAAATGCATGAGTTAAATTAATTGAAAATGGCACAAAAATATATCTTTATTAACTACCAAAAACAGGCTCAAATAAAAAAATAAAATCAATTTAAATAGATTTTTTCTATAACTTTTGAAATGAAAAAATAGATTGTGTTTCCTTACATTTTACCTTTACTGCAAGTTGAAAAATCTTACCTATTTATTTCTTTAAAAAATCACATGATAAATAATAGTTTAAGATTCAAAAATATGTTCGCAATATTAATACAAAATGTAGTTTAGAACAATAGGTTTTTAAACTAGAAAAATGGGAAAAATTCATAGTCAATAACTACTTTTTAGAGATTAATAAAATTATATAAAACACAATTTTCAATACCAAAATTTATTTTAATATTGCAAAAAATATTTCTGTATCTTAAAGATTGAATTTCTTAAAATTTTTATTTCTCTAATAAAAAATTCATAAATGGTATAGTCAAGTTATTCTATACAGAAATATTTGTTAACCTGCAATAAGAGTAAGAAAGGGTATAAAAGGTATTAGGCAACATTATTGATTTTGTCATTTTCAACTAATAATGGGAATGAAACACTTTCAATATCATTAATTAATAAACGTGAAATTAAGTAAATGTGAGTATATGTATTCACAGTAAGTAAAGTGAAATAAATTTTTTGATTTGCCTGTTAGCTTGTTTTTTAAGCACTTAATTATGAATTTCATTTAACATCTTAACATGCTTGCTTGAATTAATTTGAGTAAGGTCAGATTTTATGTTGCTGTAATTTTCACACATGAATATAAGCAAGAATTAAAAATAACAATAGGAAAGGCAAAAAAATAAATCATTTTACTGATTTTTTTAAATAATTTGATTGATTTTTTATTGATTTATATAGGACTGTAGGCTATATCTGTTAAAACAAAAAGAAAATATAGTCTTTTACCATGGAACACAAGAATAATTTAAATCAATTCATTTAAAAACACAGAGTTTTAGAGATTTTTTTTATAATCACAACATGGCACTATAACAATACAGGGTGCTTAGCCTAATCCTTCAACAAAAATATACACTTTTTAAGCACTCAGAAAATATTTTTAAGCACTATATACATGAAAGAAACGCAAAATTTTCGAAGACTTTACATAATCATGATAAAATAACATTTTTGACAAAGAACTATTTTCTTGACTATATTAGTCCTTAAAAAATGATCAAGAGATTATTGGGTTTGATTTCAGAGGGGGGGGGGGAATGAAGTCTGAAATGGAGAATATCTTGCAAAATGCAGCAGAGTTGCATACGAGAGTGCAAGAATCTCACTGAATCCAGCTCACTACACGCACATGCGGACTCACAAGTATTTCGGCAAACCTGTAAAATGATTATCGCTTTCATACTCTATGGTCCGACGGTACGCCAAAATGGATTGTGGTTGAACGAATTATGAAAAGGTGGAATAGAACAATGTGAAAAGCACGCTTTTACATAATACATAGCAAAAATTGACATAATAAAGAAAAAAATTTCATTTTCGAAAAGGATTCTTTTTAAAAACACTCATGAAAAATAGCAACCTTAAGAGCTTTTTAAAAAACGAAAGTCGAAAATAAGCACCTTTAAGCACTTTTTAAAAATGCTACGCACCATGTAATAGGAATCAGTACCACCTTTATGCATGGGCACACCCGGGCAGAGAATCTCACTTTTTATAAATTGTATTTAAAAAAAATTAAGACTAAACAAAATCACCTGATATATTTTTTAAAATAAATATATTCTATTGTATAAAGAGTGCATTTTGTTGTTCTTTCAACAAATAGTGATTGATTATTTTGCAAACAATAATTTGAATAGTTTATCACTAGGGAAACTTAAAAAGGCAACTAAAATCTATTTTTCTACGTGAAATTTTTATGTGAATTAAGTTTTTTTGGGTCTACTAAAAAAAAATTTAATACATTTAAATCAAAATTTATTTGAATTTGTTTAAATTATTGCATATTTTAAAAATGCTTTATTTTATGTATGAGAAGTTTTTTAGTTCTATTTTAAGCAATATGATCTGTTATAAGGGCCCAAAACATTTCTTTGCCTGGGGGCCTTGCATGTTATTAAGACGGTCTTAACAGAAATTTAAAAAAAAATATCTTATTTTAGTTTTTTTAAAATATTGAATAACAAATGAGTGAAATTAAAAAAAAATGTTTAAAATAACAAATTCAACTGTAACTGTGGTTACTAACTTTGGTGAGACATCTTCTTCCATGATAGTTTGCAAATGATTGAGGGTATCAACAAATAACTCCAAACATTTTATGTGTGGCATCATTGGACAATCTTTGGGAGGAGCATATCCTTTACCGCCAAGTCGGACTTTTGTCACGTATGATATGGCAGTCTAAAAAAGAACAATGAATTCCAATTCTAAATTTCTTAGTTAAATCCAAAACAATAAGAATACAAAACAATAATAGTACAAAGCAATAACCACCCCTGCGGCAGAATTTTTTCGGGCTTTCTGCGACTTGCCTCTCTAATACTAATATTTTTCACAAGACACTTTTAAAAATACAAATATACATGCTACTAATTTAAAGTAACAGAAACATCAACTTCAAAAAATAATAATAATAAATAAATAACTTTATAGAAAAAATAAAATAATATAATTTCTTTATTTAAAAATTAAATTTTTTACTTTAATAAAATATGGCCGATATTCTCGCATTTTGTCGAAGGAAAACACACTAATAATTTTGCATTTGGTAAATCATAATCACATTAAAGAAAATAATAAAAAAGTCGTGAAATCCGTTGCAGCAACTATTCGAAAAAGTCCAACAGCAAAAGCATGCGAGTTGGACTCTTCGAAAAGGGGTTACTAAAAGCGTGTTTTCATTTCGAGATTCAGTTGTTGTAATAAACAATATCGTAATAAAAATAAAGGATTTTAAAAAATTTGCGTACAAGAATAATAACTACATAAAAAAATAGAACGCAGATTACTGCTGAAAAGAAAACCAAAATCTTTTACTTCCCAACGGAAAAACTCTGCTACGCTCTGCGACAATGTTGCCGCGTCACCACGATTCTGAGATGGGGATAAGCACCAAAAATAGAATCGTTTATTTAGAGAAGTTATTTGTTTTACTTTCTATCATCTATAAAAGTCTGGTGGCACCGCTAAGAAGGAGGTAATGGGGCTTAAAGCTCCACTTAGAAATTATCCTCAAGGACTACTTTAAATACTCATATATTGCGCAGTTTTTAACAAACTTTTTTCAAAACAAAATTTTAATAAATTTTTATATTTAATTTTAAATACTCATATCGTGCTAAGTTTAAGCGAATTTTTTTTCAAAATTTAAAACAAAACTTTTGTATTTAATTTTCAATGGTTTCAAAAATTTAGTTTAATTTAACTGAATACAAAGTTGTTCCTAGGACTAAAAAATGGCAGGGGCTGCCTCTCAAAAAAAGGGCATTATAAAATTTGAAAGAGCACTCATTCAACACCTGTAAAAATTTATCAAAATGTGTAATATAATGTAATAAACAAATTTGGTCTTCAACAATTTTTTCTTTTTCTTTTTGAACTACTGTCTAATACTATTTTATGTGTATATTTAAAAAATTGATTCTCTATTATAATCAGAATAAGATAAAAAATTTTGGTTTATAAAAACAATTAAAGGTATGATAATAGATAAATCTCTGTGCATAAATTTTTTTTGAAAAAAAAAGTAAACTAAAGAAAAAAAATTTATTTATAAACAACCGGAAATTTTTTTATATAATTTAAACTGAAATTATGAGAAAATAAACACTTAAAGTTGCATTTAAAAAAAATTTATTAATATGTCCCCTGAAAAAAGAGATACTTATAAAAATTTAACTAGTTGAGAATCCTAGCAAAGTAAATATTTGTAATAGTAATCAAATAAACTACCTATACAAAACTTTAGAATAATTTTCTCGACCCATGTTTGCAATGATTCTTTTTTTTTTCTCTCTTTTTAAGAACTGTTGTTATTCATATAAATTTTAAACTAACTTAAATAAACAATTTTGTGATCAAAAGAAAAGAATTTAAAAAAAGGGGAATTATATACATAATAAACATTTAGGAAAAATTCATACATATCAACCAAAAGTTATTAAAAAAAGTTAATTTTTAGGAGAAACTTAACATACTCAATGAAAAGTGAATAAAAATTACATACGTAGATACTAATTATTCAATGATCATTGATAGAAAAGACAAACTTTTGATATTTTTGAATTGTGTTAGAAATTTATAAATGGTGTTTTTTTCGATTAATTATTTTTTTTTATAATGCAAGTGCAAATGATGATGAACATAAAATACAGATTGCAATGACATTTCTATGGTATTTCAGGAAAGTAAAACCTTTATACAGCATTAGTTTTCTAAAATTGTACAACAAATTGGCATTTTATTATAAAATTCTAAATAAACAGTATTTCAAATAATTAGGGGTTACAAAAAATAAATGTTGCAGAATACTGAAATAAGCTTCAATTGATAAGTTTTGTTTGTTGGGTCTTTATTGTAATGAATCTAATTAAAAAACAATTTCTTTTATGATTAAGAAAAAAAATCAACCACTTTACCTGACACATGGGCATTTCTTTTTGAATAGCGAGATGCTTTAAATGAGTGAAAGCTTCGTGACTTAAATTAATGAATGGAGAAATCATGACTTTAGACAAAGCTAGTTCATTCCGGCTATTAATCAGGAGGCTGAGAAAGGCCGTTATAATCTCTTTACAGTATTCCTAAAATGTAAAAGCAACATCACTAATAAATAAACTTTTAAATGGTTTTAAAAAAATTTATGAAATTGATTTATAAAAGTCTAACTGCAGGAAGGAAACATATATTCACATTGCATTTGTTTGACCACTTTTTGACCATAAATGACCACCTTTTGATTTTTTTTACCATCTTTATTTCAGACATAATTCTAGAACTAAGATTTGGACGCTAACTTAGTATTTTTACGCCAAATAAATTAAAATTCCAATTTTTATAGTGTATTCGTTAGACCATTTTTTGCCCATAAACGAGCACCTCTCAGTTTTTTTTTTTTTTATTATTTATTTTTTTTACTTTTTTTTTACCACCCTTATCTTAGCCGGAATCATAAAAATAAGGTTTGGGGAAAGCACAAAGTTAGCCCCCGAAAATAAGGAAAATAAAGAATTCCAACAGCAATCTTTTGACCACTAATAATTGCTTTTTAGTTTTCTTTTTATAAAAGAGAAAAATAAAAAATTTCAACAGCATTCATCTGACTACCTCTTAGTTAGTTTCTTTACCACCCTTATTTTAGCTGTAATCATAAAAAATATATATAGTTGTTATCAGAGTTGTACTTATGAGCAGCATGAAATTATCCCTCTAAAATGAGACATTCAAAACTGAATTCGAATGTTTAATTAGAATGAAATAATTTGCATATATTTTAGCTGTAATCATAAAAAATATATATAGTTGTTATCAAAGTTATACTTATGAGCAGCATGAAATTATCCCTCTAAAATGAGACATTTAAAACTGAATTCGAATGTTTAATTAGAATGAAATAATTTGCATATAGTCAATATGGACAAGCCTTGGTTTACAATTTTTAATGATTTTGGTCATCTAATTAAGATACTTTGTTTGAAAATTAAATTCAATGGCTAACACTTCGTTTTTGATTAAAGCATTTCTTAGTTTGTAAGTATGAATTATTTTCTAACTTCTAACAAAAACATCATAATGTCGTTTAAGTTGTGACTTGTGACTAATACTATACTTTTTTCATTATGTAAATTTAAAAAAAAAAAATTTTTCATTCAAATCGTTTATCAATCAAACGTTGAATAGAACAATGTGAAAACTATGCTTTTGCATAATATGTGACAAAATTCGACAAGATAAAGAAAAAAAATCTCATTTTCGAAAAGGGAACATTAAGCAGTTTTTAAAAACGCTACGCACCATGTAGATAGATCTTAAAACCTAGAACTGTAACAAAATCACAGAAGAAAATAAAAAACGAACAAAGCAAATTAAAAGGAAAAAAAGTTACAAAAAATTACTTGAGTGGCAGATTTCAAATGCATGGGTTTCTCAACATTAGAGCAATACTCATTCACGTTCATTAATTCTGTGGTGATTGTAGAAGATGATTGTGCAGAAGGGCTTTCATGCACACTGATATTCAAAGGTGTTTCAATTACAATAGAGAGGATAGTCTCACAATTTAGAAAGCTGATGATTTCTTTCTGAAATGAAAGGAACTATGTTTTATTTATAAGCCAATGAGTATCACAAGGACATTTCCGAAGTAAAAAAAAAAAAAAAAAAAAAATNAAAAAAAAAAAAAAAAAAAAAAAAAAAAGTATCTGCGAACACAATCAGCAAGCTCATATTTTTGATAATAGAATAATCTTACTAAATATATGAAAACAGTTAACTATTTTATATTTTTACTTATTCTTCACAAAATTCTTAATCGAATTTTCATTTTTTTAGGGCTCCATAAAATAATATCTATATTAACTACCTCATAGAAAACACTTCAAAAATATACAAAATTGAAATAACAGTCGACATATTTTAAGTCAGGGATCTGTCCAGACATTTTGTGAAAGGTCCGTTTTTGTAAAATTGTGAAAAAATTACTCGTAATTTGTGAATATAAATAAACGTTAAGTCACATTCTTTCAACCAGGGTCCTGCTTTTATGAATTTGTGCAAATCGGGTCCGGTGAATGTTGAACATACAAGATTATGTTCAACACTGTAAAATTTGTAAAATTATAATTAAAAAAATTTAAATTTTAAAAAATAAACAGCAATTGCTGCTACTAAATTAGAGATAAAACATACAAATATTTGGTATTTAGCCTATATTGCCGAAAGCAGAACACTCATTTCGGACGAATAAAGGAAGAAGCGTCTGCCGAAGACAAAACTTAGTTCGATTACATCTCCCTCCCTCTTTCCTGGGAAGGGTTTATCCCAGTGATTCTCAACCACTGTGCCGCGGCACTTTTGTGTGCCGCCAAATTCTTAAAATGTGCCGCCAAATGTTACAAATATTAGAATTAGAAATGATACAATGAAAATTATAATGGTTTTTTTANGCTTTAACCGCGTAAACATCTTTGTCGGCGATTGTCTTGTCTCTGACAATCTTAAAACAGGAAGGAAGTGTTTAAATGATTATAAATTATTAATTAACAAAGGAAAGCAATCTAAATATTAACTTTCAAACGGAAATAAAAGTTAATTATAAAAGTAAGCTATGAAATTAATAGTTATAAAAGTAAATTAACAAAGAATAACAAAAAAAAAGCTAACAATTAATAATCAGCAAAAAAAACAATTAACAAGAAATCACAAAAAAATAACAGTTAATGGCTATAAAAAACAAGCTAACAATTAGTAACTATAAAATAAGATAACTGTTAGTAACTAATAAAAAATTAGTCGAAAGAAATAATTAATCCCTTAATAAACGTGCTTTTGTAGCACATATTTTATTTCACATTCAAAATTATTATCACAAACTATCACAGTGTATTATAGGTAAGTAAACAACTTTTAAACTAATTTTTTTCATTGTGTGCCGTCAAATTTCGAAATCGTTAAAAGTGTGCCGTCCCCCAAAAAAGGTTGAGAATCACTGGTTTATCCGATTAACAAAACAATAATGAAGATAAGCCAATTCCTGAAGAGTCCGATTAAAAGATAAATTATTTTGTGAAGGGTACTTACAAAAATAAATGAATCAATTGCTCCCAAAATAAGAAACTTAACCTCTGATATATGTTGACTGAATTGGTTGTTGATACTTTTGTACTTTTGAAAGCTGCTCAGCATTTTCCAAATATCAATACAATTGTTTTCAGTGATAAATCCTTTTAAGGACTGAGCAGCTGGTGATGAAGCCTCATTTGTTTCAAGTAATTCTCTCCTGTATGATTCATGACAATGAACTAAACTTTCGCCTTTGTCTTCATTCTGGAAGAAAAGAAAAAATCTTTATAAATATGATAATTTAGCAGAAAAATCTCACTAAATTCAAGATTTATTAAAAAGAATCTTCTAACTACGTTCAGAGTATTAAAACAAGAGTTCATATAATTAAGTTTATTTATTCTGATTCTTTTCTTTTTTTTAAAGGTTGGAATTTTAGGAGTTTGTTAGAATCAGTGATTTTGCTAGACTCAGGAAATTTCAAGCCCTTAGGACCAGGATATCCAAGTTTTTAGAGGGGGTACTAAAAACAGTTCTCTGTTTAAAATAATGCAAATCTTCCCTTTAAAGATATAGTAAATAAAAAGTGAATATTTTATGATTAAGAAAATAAGTGTGATTAGCAATAGAATCAGTAATTCAACAAAGAATTAAAACCAAAATTTCTAAATCAGTTAAGCTTAGAAGAACAAAATCAAATGGTTTTTTCAAACAATAATAAGATGTGGTATATTCGTTTTGATACTTACTAATTCATTAAATTGATTAAACCACTTCGAATAACATTTCATTGAAGAAAGGGTAGAACAAGCATTATTGAAAACTAAATAATATGTTAATATTTGAATATAAAATTTTTTTTTTTAGAATGAGCAAATAACATTATTACAACATTCTAAATTTTCAAAAATTATAAAATATTCTGTTGTATCTTTATTCATCTATTTATATGCACATTTATAAAGGATATCAATAATAAAGGAATATAAAGGATTGACAAACAAAACAAAAAAAAAATTATAAATATTAAATTATGAAGAGTTATGTTTGAAATCAAAATTTTTGATTAGGACTGATTAAACACTGACATCAAGAAATAGCAGTAATATTATTCCATACTCAAAATTATTTTCCATACCTGCCAACATTGGACAAATAAAATAATAATACATCAAGCATAATCATGTAAGTCAAAAAGAGAAATTCAAAATTGGAAATAACATAAGTACTTGTATTCAGCGAAGTAAAAAATATACTTAAATCTTTATATGAAGAAAACTTTTTTAAACCATTATTTATAATTACTTAAACTATTAGCACTCAATATCAGTATTGGCAATAACACCATCTGTTGAGGAATAAGAGCAGTATTTAAGCCAGTCAATATTTTATTGTCATTTTTTTTAAAATAATTTCTTCAACAAATACAGAGAAATTTGAAATACATGGGTAAACAGGAGATTGTCATAAAATACAGGAGTCTTTGTTAAAAACCAGGAGATGCGGCAGGTTTGATTTTCACTCCCTCCATTTCATTCAAGAAGAAAAATAAGAAAAGATTTTTCTTTTATTTATTTAAAATGTAGTTTAATTTTGCAGACTTAAATCTCCTGATTAACCCTTTTTATTAATTACTTGTGATGAAGAATTAAGTTTCCTAGAGGATGTGAGTGAAATATTTTATTTCTTCCTTTTCCTACATTCTTTCTATGATATTTTTGTATATTTGACACACCGAATAACCAGAGTTGGCAAGTTTTTGCCACATGACGGTTTTTTCCGGTTATTACCATGGTTTTTACCATCATGTCGAAAATCCCTCTGTCAAAAACCCATAGTTTTGGTAAAACTGTATTTTTATTTGAGTTTAACTGCTTATAATTTAAAATTAATTCATTTTTGAGAAATAAAATTAGAAAAAAAGTTTTTGAAAGATATTTAAGAACAGATTCTTGCATTTTCCCAACATGATTATATGAAAACATACTATTTGAAGTAAAATATTAGGATACTAAACAAAGTTTTCAACATTTCCAAGCATTTTGTTTGGCATATTACATTACTGAAGAATGTCAAGATTGATTACTTTCATTCATAAAATCTTTCTTTGAGAAACACATGTACACATAAAAAAAAAGCCTCATAAAATAAACTTTTCTTATCAATTTTGTTTTCAATATTTTACACAGAAATGAGACATGAAAAAGCCTGAGAAATCCTTTCAGAGTTTCCTTGCAACATTGCAATAACCTTTTGTTATCATTATCCTCAATGACAGGCTTCCTTGGAACTAGACTGGTGGTCTTCCATTGAAAGAATCTTCTCGAATTTTGGACTCATCCATACTAAACTCAGAAATCGACTGGGCAATGAAAAATGCGCAAAATTAGTCACTTGCTATCGTATGCTTCTGCACAGTGACCCCGACTACTGAACATATAATTTTGTTTGTAATTAAGTTTTGTTTAATGTGCTTTTTCAACTGAATAAAAGCTTTTAACTTGACAAAATAGCAGTAATTCTTGACTTAGAGTTTGTTAGTACTTACAAGTTTTGAAAGTTTTGTTTAGCTTATTTCTAATATTTAAGAAATGCCAAATTTTAAATTCTTCTTTTTAGTTCTTGAATTTATTAATAGTTCCAAGTTTTTTTGTTTGTTTGTTTAGTTGTAACAATTAAGAAGTGCAAAATTTTGAATCCTTTGTAAATCTAGCTATAATGATAAAAGTAAGTATCATTATTTTCAATAGGTATATTACAATATTTCTGTATGAATGTATATCCTTCTATAAGAATACATGTATATAGTTGCAAAATCAATAGCAATCATTTACAACATTCATTTATAAAGGCAATTATGTGAAAATAATATATTGTCCGCTATATGCCATAAACTAAAGAATACAGATTTTTGACGGTTTTTACCACTGGCATGTCAAAAACCAATTTTAGACGGCAAAAACCCAACCCTGTGAATAACTAAGAAGCTTAGTGTTCTGTAATGTATATTGATCAGAATGCATAAGTACTTACCCATAATTTCAGGGATAAAATTAAAAGGAAACTAAATAATATACAATGAGTAAAAAATTTAAAAAAAGCACAGTTTTTTTAAATTTAATTTTTTAATGCATATCAAGCTAAGAAAGCTTTTAATTAGGTTATTATTTCTTAATTGCAACATTCTTTAATTACAATACTTTTGTATCAGTTCAAATTTACATAATTGATGATTTACTTGCATCAGAAAAGATTGAATTTATTTGCTATTTTCTTTACTGCTCCGTATCTATTTAGTAAAAGATTAATAAGTTGCATGCAAAGACTTATAAATTTAATACAAAACGAGCAATATAAAAAGAAAAAACTTTAAAGTCAATTCCTACTTAGTTCAACAAAGAAATTTTTTATTTTAGTTTCTTTTTATTAAATAATTAGAATTTTTCCCCTTTATAACACTAAAATTAAATTTAATTAATGAATTTATATTTGAAAAAGCTGTATTAACATGAAGTGTCATCCACTACAAGATTACAAAATTGTATTTGAACTCGAGTGGATGAATAAAAAGTACTTTACTAAAGATTGAAAATTTGAACAAGATATAAGGGAGAGTGTTGTGAACTAATTAGTAGGAATTCGAAGACAAAAAATGGCGTGTGGTATCAGACAACTTATAAAAGTAAAAATTTGGTGACATGGACAACACGTGCTACCACGTAATGTTCTTTATTGAATTCATCTGACCACACGTGCTACCACGTAATGTTCTTTACTGAATTCATCTGACCACACGTGCTACCACGTAATGTTCTTTATTGAATTCATCCGACACAGCGAATATGAAATAATTAAAGATTTAAACGAGTGCAGTAAACTATTTTTTTTTTGTTCAAATAGAGTTATAAGTTAGAAATTATCAATGATGCTATCTTTAAAACATGTGAAAAACTGATTTGCTTTTAGTAAAATTTAAAACAATGACTAACGTTTAACTCATCAGAAAATTCCATTTCGTTTTTCGCTCACCCCTATTTAATGAATGAATTAATATTTTAAAAAACTGTATTAACATCAAGTTACAAGTATAACAAAAAATACATTTGAATTTGAGTGGATGAATAAAAAGTTTTTTATTAATCATTGAAAATTTGAACAATATATAGGGAGAGTGTGAACCAATAGTAAGAATTGAAATATATATATANTATACAGTGAAACCTCCGTTAAGCGGACATTCATGGGACCAAAAAATTTGTCCGTTTATGAGAGTTGTCCGTTTACGGGAAGGGTACCCTAATAACGAAATTTAACACCGTAAATTGTTTTTAGAATATTCTCAAAGATGTAGAAATAATTAAATAATATCTACAAGGATACTGTAAATATCTACAAGAATATTTATTTAAACAATAAGAAAGATAAAAAAGAATATATAAAGTTTGATATAAATACATAATTCTGGATCTAGCTACAAATAAATAAATAAATATAATTTTCCTATTACCATAGATACTCAAGTTAGACATATGATACCAAATAGGAGCGTACTGTCCTCAGTCCGTTTCAATTATTAGGTTCACATCCCCTTACAACCTACTTATCATTTGATAGGGAACATGGTTCTTGGAAAATAAACCTCCCATGATTCACAGAAAAAAAAGTAATTCATACCTGTAAGTCATGAGGACCTATGAAGATGATTATTCACAATTGATCAGATATCAAGTGTCTAAATAAATGTTTCAATTATATAAACACCTCAAAGATTATACTTTGGTTCTCTTTTTTTTACCCCAGTTGTGTTAAATACAGTCTTCAAATTGATAAGAAAATCAAAGAAATTTCAAAAATGGGAAAGAAGCATAAAGAGAAGTCATTTCAACTTGAAGGGTCTCATAACCTGTGTGGTCCAGATGAAAAGATCAAAAGATGCCGATGTCAGAATTATTTCAGGAGTCCAGTACCATTTTCTCTCCTTTCTTTACAAATATAAAGCAAGGTGACAGGAGAAAGATTGATTTTTCGGTGGTGAAATAGCTTAACAATACTTTTAGTTATGGATAAGGCAAAAATTTTTATTTACATGCTTTAAAAATGGTGAAAAGTTGCATTTCTTTAGCTTGCAATTTACTTAGAAAAAGTAGTGTCCGGTTTGTAGAGATAAAAAACGTTTCAGGACCAAAATGATTGTCCGTGTCCGGTTACGGGAGTGTCCGCTTTGCGGAGAATCTACGTAATGGTTTATTCATAGAAGATTCTCGGGGAATTAAAAATATGTCCGCATTGAGAGGCGTCCGTTTTGCAGGAGTGACCATAACAGGAGGTTTCACTGTATATATATATATTTAAATCATGCCATTAATAACTTATAAGTTCTACACAATTAGTTTCATAAATTAACACTTAAGAACCCCCATATTTTAAAGTGCGTATAACAGCATTAGATAGACATAATTCATTGCTTTTGTTAAAACACTGGATAATTGTTTCAATGTGAAACAACTTACCTCTTGAATCTTTAATCTTTCCAAACATAACTCTGCAGCTTGACACAAATCTTTAGGATTCAAATACATTAGTTTTTCATTCTCTATAATTTTGAATTGCAGACACTTGATATAGATGTAGAATATTAAAGGAATGCTATCTTCAATATCATCAGCCACATCACCGTGCAAAATAATAACTTCTAAATACAAATAAATAAAATGATGACATATTGCAACTTTTTAAATACAAAGTAAATATTCACAACACAAAAATATATGCGTATAGAAAATAAAGTTAGAATACCACCAAAAATTAATTAGGAGCAGTGCTTGTTTAGATTCTTAAAGCCCCGTGGCAGAATCACAGCGATAATGTCAAAGAACGTTACAGAGATCTTGCAGAAAGATTTTTCTTTAGATAGGTTAAAAAAAATTTACTTTCCTTTTCTACAGACATTTACATGTACTATTTGAATCATGCATTTAGATAATCACATTTGGACATGCTCAATTTACTCTGATAGCAACGTAAATCACTGTAATGTTTCGATTGTATTTTAGGCAGTTATTGATATTGATTTTCATGTGAATTTTAAAGTATCTCGATATATTTCAAACAATATGGAAAATTCAAAACTTACATTTGAGTATTGACTTTTTAAAGCAATAAGTCTATTGAATTTTTGGCAGTAATTGTTATGGATTTCTCCATAGTTTTTAAATCCGATATTTTATATAAGATATTATTTATTACAACCTAATCTCGAAACAAAACATGCCTTCGAGGAGTCCGATTTTTGTCATTTCATTCCCGATCTTTTTTTTCGGCGATTACTACTACGGCTTTCTTGATTTTTAATTATTTTCTTTATTGTGTTGATTATTTACAAAATGCGAAGAAGGAAACAATTTGTATAATTTGTGCTTTACATTATTATAAAAGTTAAGAAATGGTTTTTGTTACAAAAATAAAATTTTGAACACAATAACTACTGTAAGTATAATTTTTACATGCACATAAAAAAGACATGGTTTACACACGCATCTTATTCAATTAAAGCAAATTAAACAAAATTTTGAAGCTAAATATAACTAGCATAATGTAATATAAAAACACAACAATATGATTTTCAATACATAAATTTTACAAATCTTTTACAGTCCCAAAACATGGTACTGCACACAAGCCTATATCGCACTCTTTGCATCACCTGCATCGTAATCAGTGATAAACTAGGACCACTAATGCCATCTATTAGGAAAACAGAGAAATAAGTATCCTCGTAAGTAGAAACAAACTTGGCTTGGGCTTCACACAATAGAAACGTTAATTTTTCTCCTGCTTGAAGTCAGTTCTGGCATCACAAATACTGCTCGTAGTAGTTACCCGAACAGTATACGGGCGACACTGGCAAGAGGTTAAGATACAAGGTAAATTAAACTTTTTGCTTGCTACTATTTTTACGAAAAATATAATCAATTTTCAAAATGTTAACAGAAGTAGTATAAAGAACTTTTTGGTGACATAAAAGAATGTAGAACACATTTAATGCTTAAAGAAACTGTTTCTTTAGTTCTAATGTTTACCACATATCATTAAAAGATTTAAAAAAATATCAGAAAATTATGACATCAGATATGTTCCTATACTTTCAACACTTGATATTTGTATACAAATTATCTTTCAAGACAAAAATACCTTGTCACTTTTAGGCCTAGCATTTAACATTATTGAGAGGTCAATTTATGGAAATTCGGAACAAATCAGCAAGTGTCTCTGTCTTAAATTAAACCCTGATGATTAAAAATTGCCACAGTCAAATTTTCAAAAGGTTTTTAGATTCTTTTTTCATTTTCCGCTTATAAAATATACTTCAAGATATTAAGCCTTCAAAATATGTTTTAAATTAATTTGTTCCAAACTAATTGCTTCATAATAAAATCGACTTGTTTGAGATAACTACAATCACCAAAAAGTTTTTCAACTTGAAAAGATTTAAATAAAATTATGCTGTTTGCTTCAGACTAGATCTTCTAGATCAGACTAGATGCCTTTTAATATCACGGACATATATCAACAAAAAGAAGAAGAAAAAAGCTTGAAAGTCAATGCAAAACAAGAGTAACCCTAGAATTATCTTGTGAAATGAGGAATAAAATTTAATTTTAACCACTATAAGCTACTATATAAACCACTATATAAATCTACTATTTTAACCACTTATAATCACTATATAAACCTACTTCTATCCAAAGGCTCTTGACTTTTGATAAATGTGAGAACTTTTTCTTTCAGGCTCAAGTCTGGTTCCTTCCAAACAAAGACATTAAAATTTCCAGACATGATTGCTCGCGAACAAATAAACTATACTGTAAGTCAAAAACATAACAAGATTAACAACAAAGTTCATTTTTAAAAAAAAAAAAATCAGATTATGAAATAGGAAAACATACTTTGCAGAAAAAAACAATCAAACTCAGACAGATAAAATGTCCTTTGACAATGTTTTGAGAAAGATAATTTATATATATAACTTAAGCCAATTCAAATTTACAAATTGCAGGGGATACTTTCCTATCATGATCTGTCGCACCAACTACAATCCTCCGTCAACCAAATGGATTTTAAACCTGGAATTTAAAAAGAATAAATAAATAAAAAAAACATGTAGAAGTTGGGAGGATACAAGATATATCTTTTGAGTTAGCCCTTTCCTGAGATTTTTTTTAAGTTTCCCGCAGGCCACTGCTACGAAGTTGCAAAGATTTGGCGATTATTCAGCGACAGATCATGATACGGAAATCTCCCCATATTATATTTCCAATTCACTGGTCATTCCCAATACCACGAGAAAGGTGTTCAAAGGGTATAACTCGTAGCCAACCCACTTAAACATCCACATGTTTTTAAAAATAAATTGCAAGTTTAAAATCCATCTTGCACCTTGATGATTGCAGTTGAGGCAACAGATCACGATATGGAAGTATAGAAGGGATTTAATCATCGACTATGTCAACCTTCATCTACAGAAAGGTACCTCTAGATAGAATAAAGTTAAAATGTCTTATATACTAGTGAATTTGTGTTGAATATTTGTAGTGGTAGTTACACCACATTACTGCCCTTCCAGAATTTTTATCTGTGACAGAATTCGATGAACGAATACGACTAGTTGATTTCTGCAGATTTTTTTTTTTATTTATGTCCTTTTTGCTCAATATTTTCTTAATTTTTTTATATCATTCTGTTCATTTTTTCCCCCCCTCCAATTTTGTTTATTGACCGGGAGACTTTATATTTCAGTTTTTTTGTTTGTTTGTTAGAGCAATATTTTAAGGGACCATCCATCAATGTTGGCAAGTTCATATCACATCCGCAGGTCACCATTGAAGAGAATTAATTATCGACCATGTCAACCTTCATCTATCAATAAATACCACTTGATAGAATCAAGTTAACACGTATTATATTATAGTGAATTGGTATTTAATATTTACAGTGGTAGTTACGCCACAGTCAATAGTTACGCCATTTCCTTCTTCAACAAAGGAATTTTTAAAAAGTGCTTTTATAATTAAAAAACTTGGCATAAAAATTGTATCCCCGATACTGTTCATTTGTGGACTTGAAGGTACTTTACTTACTCAACAGTTTGATTTAAAAGGTTTAGTAAACTATAAAACTTTACAACAATGTACATCTGTTGATGATATTGTAAATTCAAATAGATGCAAATAATTATTGATTTCTCTCTTAAGTTAGCTTTGCAAAGAAATAAAAATCTGACTTATATTGAGCAAGATATTAACGAGCACAAAACAAACTATATGGAATAAACAAGGTTTATCAATGAAACCTTATTTTTTAGTGTAAATAGCTATCACTTTGAAAGGGTTGCAGTTTCAATTACTTTGGCTTAATAATCAATGATAATAAAACAATTCGGATGGATTTCATTCAAGGATACAAAAAGGAAATAAAAACTATAATTTATACCTAGTTATACCTCACATTATAAATAAAATTTGTAAACTTATGAATAAAAATTTTAATCTAGGGATTAATACCCATGTATCATATTAAATTCAATTTCATCATTATATATGATATCAGAACAGGTAAAATACCAAAAGAAGCAGGTAAGCAAACTAAAATGCAACATTATAATATTAATTTACTGGAATAAATTCTCGGTTAATTCAACAATATATTACCGTATATAGTTTATACAATAAAATTGAAAGCAGTTACACATTAACAAATAACAAACAGAAAGTAGTCTAATGAACAGAAGCAAATAATCCCGCCGATGAAAGTCAAGTAACATAATAATTTCTTTCTGGCTCTTAGCTTTAACTTGCTTTTAGCTTTCATAAGCGAAGAGCCACTGTTCCTTTATAGGTCCATTTTCACTGCTTACGATTCACACACCTCTGATCGCAATCATGGTGCTCGACTGCGCAGCGGGACAGATTGGGTATTAATAGAGGATAGATTTCCATAACGTACATTAGTTATATATTTGAGTACACACATTTAAGACTTAGAATAGTTGAATTTTAATTCCTGTGTCTCAAACTTAAGAAAAGTTTCTAATAACAAAAATCTATCGTCTAGGCTCAAAAAAGTTAAATAAACCTAGTTGGCAAGCTCCATTTTAATCACCAATTAAACTTGTCACATAAATGTAGGTATGTGGGTACTTTATTTACGTCACACTAGAGCTGCACAATGGGCTATTGGTGACTTTCTGGAAAACATCTCTCAGGATGATCCGAATAGATGCCTTCGCAATTTTGATCCTCTGTAGAGGAAATGACTCTCCTGCTTTGATAGCCCGACGACCTGCGGTACCACTTTACAGTAGAATAATTTAAAAAGGACCGATGCCGTGCACCCTCGGTCCGTACGTGGGCTTGATCTAAGGTGTCACCCACCCGCTTACTGACCGCAGCCAGTGAGGCTTGATTTCGGTGTTCTACTGGGAACCGTGTCTTTACGACCAGCCCACTGCGGGACTAAAAAAAAATTTAATTTTTTAACGTAAATACTCATTTACTTGGTAATGATGTCATTTAATTCTTGAGCAGTGTCCTTTAGCAAAATTATATATTTTTTAAATGCATTGTTTATAGTTTTAGATCTTTGTATTCTGTGGGGATTTTATTATAGACCATGTTAACCTTCATCTGTCTACCAAAAGGTACCTCATGATGGAATCAAGTTAACATGTCCTATATACTAGTGAATTGGTATTTAATATTTATAGTGATAGTTACGCCACAATTCTCTTAATTCAAAGAAATTTATAACGGTTAAATTTGTTTCGTTCTCACGAAAAATCCCGTACAAAAGAAATTCATCGCTTCGCATAATTATAATTAATGATGGCAAACAAGTGCAGTTTGATTTCGACAAATTTGCTTAATTGATGATTTATCAATCAAATCGTCATAGAGATAATTAGCATATTTGTTTGTTTTTAGTTTACTAAAGACTTAGTTAATGTTGAACTAAGCATTTTAATAACAAATTTACCGCAATACCCACGATATACCATACGATCGTGTAGGACAGTGGTGCGCAAACTTTTTTCGACTGCGACCCCTTTTGTAGAGAGAAAATTTTTGGCGACCCCTAGAGATAAATGTTCACAAATACGATGTATATTTTGAGCATTTCTTTCGTTTCATCGAATAAAAACATCATCATATTTGACTCATATTAATTTTATTTATAATTTTAAGAAAATACTTTTTGTATAACACAAAAATCAGTAATTGCCCCTTAATGAAATGTATGTGGCTGCAAGTTTCTAATTATCTCATCGATGTTTGGATGTATGTTGCTAATTGTAATTCGCATATCATCTTCAGGGTTTAAACGCGAGCGGTATTTAGTTTTTATTGAAACTAGTTTGCTAAATCCAGTTTCACGTAAATACGTTGATGCAAATTGTATTAACACTCTGATGGCATTCTTGCATAAAACGGGATATTGTTTTTCCACGGATAGCCAGATAGAGAATACATTACGCATTACGGTCAAAGAAAGAGTGGACAGCATGAAATTGCAATTAAACAGTGAGTGACGGCGCTTCACTCTTTATATGTACACTGTATAGTATGCAGCATGCAGGGATAATGCATTTAATAAAAATTTGGCGACCCCCAAAGAACTTCTGGCGACCCCCACAGGGGTCGCGACCCCTAGTTTGCGCACCACTGGTGTAGGAGACAAAAGCTGAATCTACCCTCTCTTGAGCAATAGGAGTTTATTATACTTAAGTTTTGTCTTTTTTTTTTTTTATTCGCAGTACGATTTTAAGTCTAGAAATACTTGAAATTCTACACTGTACATACTTGAAATTCTAATACATACTTGACTACATACTTGAAATTCTAATTTCTTCTTTTTTACTTTCCCTCTTTTGGGTTCATGTATATCACTGATTACATTGAAGACACAAAAAGAGGGTTTTAAAACGTATTCAAAGTTGGAAGTGAACGAAAACTGCTGGAGCACGAGTCCTTAATCTTCTCATAGTCGGTGAGTCTTATAGAATAGAAATAGAAGATGGATAACGAAGATAGAATAAAAATTTTAAAAACACTAAACGGATAAAAAACGAAGAAAAAAATTAAACTTTTACCTCACCTAAAACCGAAAATGTTGGCGAAAATGTTTTCGTCTTTAAAAAGAGATGCGTCCGACGTTTCTTGTTGCAGTTAAATTAAAGTTTTACAGTTAAATTAAAGTGTATACAGTTAAAGTTTTGAAATAATAAAAAAACTAACTTTAAGATTGAGACGCTACTTCACTTTGGCTTCATTGCTGCGAAAGTTAACAACAAAAAGTGAGTTTTGTATATAAGTAGTGATAGACTGATACACAACGAATAATGGATTGCGTTAAACTCTTAATTTTATTGTAAATTCACAATTGTCTGAGAAGCAGCTTAACGAAAAAACCTGTCAGTTTTATTTATTTATAACTTTTATACTATTTTATTTACATAATCTGCCGGCTAGCGCAAAACGATTGTTGTTTACTGTCAGTCTGACCACAGAGTGGTGTTTAAACGCAAATATTTTACAATTATTGTGAAAGGTGACAAACCAAGTGCAAATGACAGGAAATTTAATTGTAATCAATTCGAAAAGTTGTTTTTCTTCATTTAAATAAAAGATTTTAAATCAGTTAAATTTTTTAAAAAAATTAAACATTCTTTACCAAACAATTGCACTGATACAGACAAATTTCAAATTAAATAATAGTTAAAATAACTTTTATTCTATTCTTACTATTAGTTCACACCCTTCCTATATATCTTGTTCAAATTTTCAATCTTTAATAAAATACTTTTTATTCATCCACTCGAATTCAAATGCATTTCTTGTTTAAACTTGCAGTAGATGACACTTGATGTTAATACAGTTTTTTCAATTATTAATTCATTATTCAAATTTAATTAATTTTAGATTTTATAAGGGGGAAATTTTTTTTTAATTATTTAATAAAAAGTAACTAAAATAAATTTTTCTTTGTTAAACTAAGTAGGAATTAATTTTAAGTCTTTTTTTCTATTACTTGTTGTATTAGGGAATACAATAATACTTTAGTGCTTGTTTAAACATAGTTTGAAAATCTTGTGGGTTAAAGAAATATTTTTAAGGAATTAAGCATTGATTTGAAGTATATTGAGATTAACCAGTAATGCATTAAATGCCTTCAAAAACAATATATTTTGAAGAACGGTTTTTTAATTTTTTTTATTTTATTTATTTATTAAATTTTTTTTGCAATAAAAAAAAGTCGATTTTTAAATTATCCCAGTAAAAAGTCTCGGAAAAATTAAAAATTATTTAACGAAATAAATAAAATGTGTATTTAAACAAATATAATTCATGGTAAATAAAAAGTAATTACATCAACAGTTCACTTATTTACCTATTTTGAAATAGGAAAAAAAAAAACAATTTAAGGAAATGTTTCGCGATCAACACTTTTAATGTGTGAATTTTTTTTTTCTTTTACAGAAGTTTTGACAATGATTCTAAAAGCATATATTGTACAAAAAAGCATATATTGTTGCTCAAGGGGGGGGGGGGACCCCACCTTGAATATTTCAAAAATTCAAAAAAAAATTTTATTGCATTTTTCGAATCTTTGTACCCTTCCTAATGTCTGTCTAAAACAATTTCTCGATACCTAACTTCGTTTGGAAGTTATACCGGAAAATAGAGTCGTCGCTAAACAGGTAGAAAAGTAGTAGTAGGTGCAGGTTCGGCCGGATTAGGAGGGGCGACATTCTTTTTGTGTCTCGTCCATTCTGTTGACTGTATATAGAAACTTATTGAACTTATTGTATTAAACCTTTTCCCCTACCATAAGTCAAAACTTTAAACGCATTTTTCTCAAAACGCTGTTTTTTGACCTAACCTAACGTTTTCTCATGATCTATACAACGAAATGAGCTGTTCTTTATTTTAAATAACGTAAAAATATATTCTTTAGAAAGTAGCATAGGATTTTTTTGATATTTTTATATTTCGATTTTATATTAGTATTTTAATGAATATTTTTTTAATGAAAAATTGAACTATAATTTTGCGAATATCAAAAAACCACTATGCTACTTTTTAGATAATGTCTTTATGTTTCAGAAAATCTAAACAAAATCGTTTTCCTATGTTTCAGGACTTCTAAATCCATAAGGCCAGTGAGGTGCTACTTTTTGATGACCAGCCACACACGGAGCTGCCACCAACTTATTTTTTATTATTTTGTAAAAGAAAAAAATTTAAAATAGACTTAAATTTTAGCTAAATAACATTATAAAAACTAGGAGTCTCTGCATTGTCTCTATTACTTAAAAAAAAAAATTCAAGAAAAACGTTAATATTTTACCATCTCAGGGTGGGGTCCCATCTTAAAAAAATTAAAAGCAAGTTTTCCACTATGTTATACATACAATTTATGTGCAATGATCAATTTTTATCATACATCTACCAGTTATTTATAGATATAACATAAATCGAAACTTTGTTATGAATACAATTTATGCATACAATTTACGTATAATGATCAATTTTTATCATACTTACTTACTTACTTATCCTCTACGTGCCTTTGGGCACTTAAGGCCTCTAGCATATCCCTCCAACGCCTCCTGTCTCTAGCAATAGATCTTGCTTCCTCCCAGCCAGATATTCCACATTCTTTTAATTCGCCCAAAAACATGCACCGGATGGTAAGTCTGGGTCTTCCTCTTGTTCTCTTACCATCAGGGGTCCATGTAAGAGCAACAGATGTAATTTTTTCTTTGGGTATTCTAAGGA